GTTATAATTGTGATGATTATGGCACACAGCCGATGAAAACCCCAAATTAACAATCTCAGAAAATTAGAATATTAAATGAAATCAGCAAAACAAGGACTGCAAATAGAGCAATATTGGACCTCTGAGAAGTAGAAGCATGCATATGTACTCAGTACTTGGTTTGGGCCCCTTTTGCATCTATTACTGCCTCAGTGCAGCGTGGCATGGATGCTATCAGCCTGTGGCACTGCTGAGGTGTTATGGAAGACCAGGAAGCTTCAATAGCAGCCTTCAGTTCTTCTGCATTGCTCAGTCTCATGTCCCTCATCTTTCTCTTGGCAATGCCCCATAGATTCTCTATGGGGTTCAGGTCAGGCGAGTTTGCTGGCCAATCAAGCACAGTAATCCCATGGGCATTGAACCAGGTTTTGGTACCTTTGGCAGTGTGGGCAGGTGCCAAAGTCCTGCTGGAAATGAAGTCAGCATCCCCATAAAGCTCATCTGCGGAAGGAAGCATGAAGTGCTCCAAAATCACCTGGTAGATGGCTGCGTTGACCCTGGACTTAATGAAGCACAGTGAACCAACACCAGCTGATGACATGGCTCCCCAAATCTCTTTTCTGCTGAGAGCAGCTTTTGCACCTCATTTGGAAACCAAGGACCCAGAGTCTGGAGGAAGAATGGGGAGGCACATAATGCCAGATGCTTGAAGTCCAGTGTGAAGTTTCCACAGTTTGTGTTGATTTGGGGAGCCATGTCATCAGCTGGTGTTGAATTACTGAAATAAATGAACTTTTCCACGATATTCTAATTTTCCGAGTTTCACCTGTACTTGCCTTCTTCAAGTACTTTAGTTTCAGTGGAGTGTATTATTGAACTATGATGATGCCTCTCACTTGCCGGGATGGAGAGAGGTGGGTGTGAACAGAAACCCTTGACTCTGGTATATCTGACTTCCGTTGCATGTTTTTTCACCCACTTTTGCCTCTAGCCACATCCAGTTTTTTCACCTTGCCCCGCCCAGCACCATGTGGCACTTGAGCTGAAAAGGGTTCCCCACCTCTCATCTAGCTCCTGGTAGGCCACCATTTGAGGCTGTAGGGCTGCTTTTGGCTTGGTGAATCTGGGCCTGCATTTAGAAAAGCATAGAGAGCTGTCAGTGATCAAATGTGCGAAAGGTAAGGGCTGTCCACCAAGTGCAGAAGCCACTGGATACTGAAAACGTGAGAACGCTTGTAAATACAGTTAAGAGTCAGAGAAGGCTCTGCCACCTGAGAGATTTGATGCATGACTTCCTGATCCAGTACTGTAATGAGCAAGGCATTGTGGGATGGGGGGCAAAACCCCTGCCTATTGTCATTTTCATGCCCTTTCTACATAGCCCTGCAGGAGAAGGTAACTGAAATTGAAACGCAGATGCGCAAGGATCTGTCAGAAATGGAGAGAGGGCTCAATGAAGCACGGAGGGAACACACAAAGGCAGGTGAGCAGCACAACAGCTGTACAGGCAACGAGTGATATATACGTATATGCACACATCACAGTGACTTGGAAGTGGCTGGGTAAGGGGGGCCGGGCATAACGGGCATATGCGTGCTCTGCCGTCGCACATGATGACCTGTGCAAATTGCAGATCGCCTGTAAATGGAAAGCGGCTACTGGGGTGTGTTTTGGTGCCTGAGGCAGAAAATCCAAAAGGAGTCCTCTTGTGAAAACATATGTATTAAATAGCAGGCACTTTTGTTGACAAAGATTGGGCATCTGATTCACTCTGCCTAATGTAGAGTCAGTATCGAGGGCCACAGCTCAGGGATAGATTATATACTTTTATGCAGAAGGTCTCAAGTTCAGCCACTTGTATTTCCATTTGGGGGAAAAGTCACTTGCAGCAGCAGGACTGGGAAAAATCCCTGCCTGAAGCCTGTTAGTTGTTGTGACACACAACAATCCCATGTCTGCAACAAAAGGTGGAATGGAATCTCCCAACAGAGCATTTGTTTTACATGCAATTGGTCCTAGGTTGAATCCCTGACATTTCTAAGTAGGGCTGAGAAAGATCACTGCCTGAAGCCCTGGAAAGCTGCTGTCAGCCTTTGTGGATAATACTGAGGCAGATGAACGAAGGGGACTACCTTAGTGTATAGCTGCTTCCTGTGTTCCTAGGGCAGTTGCAGTAGATGACACTGATAGCTGGATCAGTGGTTTGACTCTGCATAAAGTAGCTTTGAGTCTGCTGCACTGCAGGCAGAGCCAAACCTTCTTTACTCCCCTCTCTGCTTCTCATCCCTCTTTTGATCTTCCCTCCTGCTTTGTGTGTCTGCAGTGGTTGCCCTACGCCAGGCTGAGCGACAGGCAGCAAGAGACAAAGCTCGCAGCGACGAACTTGCCAAGCTGCAAGAGTCTGCCACGCAGCAGGAAATGGCACAACTTGAAGGACGTCTGCGGGAGCTTGAGAGGGACAAGAATCTGCTGATGGTACGTTCAAGGAGTGAAGGCACATGGCTGCCCCATATTGGTGCCTGTTGCATCTGTCAACGTCTGTCTCTTTCCATGCACAGGCTACCTTGAGGGAGGAAGGGCTGTTGATCCAGCATCGACAGAATCGGCTCGCAGCAGTCCAGGGCCCAGCAGAATCAACTGAGAAGACCGGATCTAAGCCTCCATCTAAAGGTATAGGGTGGGATTCAGTGAGTTGCATCAGCAGAACCCTGGGCAAGGACTTCGGCTTGCACAGCAAGGCTCTCCCCCAACTTGCTCCCACCAAAATTGACCCCAGAACAGCTGAAATGCTTGTGCTGACAGAAGATTCAACATACTATTCCACCACACTTTACAGCAGCAGGCAGGCTGCAGAAGCGGCTATGTGCAGTTCTGTTCCCCAACATGTTGCTGCTGTTCTCTGTGCCCTCCCTACAAGCATCTGTCTGAGGCAACTGCTTCACTCTGACTAATGATAGGGCTGGCCCTGATAATAGGGCAGCTTGGTATGTCTTGCTACATACATCCTACAGTTGGCAGGTGTGCCATTTTTCTTCCCACAATCCCTTGCAGTTCTTTTAACTGCCAGACATAGAAGCCTTCTAGTTTCTGTTCTTCCCTATTCTTCTCAACGCTCATCCCAGTGGTCACCAGGTTAAGAGCATCTACCTCACTGGCGTTCTCCACTGATCTCCATCACTCCATGATCTTATGGGCTTTTCTCCCTCTTCCTACAGAGTCTCTGTTTGCTGTGCTGGATGACCTACAGGTACTGGGTGCTGCTATACTGGGAGAAGAAGCAGCAGACAAAGAGAGAGACACCAGCAAGGGCACTTAAGTATAAATCCCTCCAGGGGAAGAAAAATCTACTTGGAGACACCAGGCTGTGGAAATGGATAGAAAGATGTTTGTAAATAAAAATTATTTTTATAGGCATTTATATTGGAAGTGTTCTTTTAAAAAACCTAGTCTCTAAAACACGACATTACCTCCCACATCTCATTTCCTCCCTACAAATCTTGGTTCAGGGCTTCTTATATATACTATTGATGCAAACCACCCACTAACTGGTAGCACATGCGCAAGATACATATATTCTTGTGTTCAGCCTAAAAAATGTTCAGGGTAGTTTACAATGCCTTATACGATTAATACAATATGGGTGGTTGGGTAGCTAAGCTGGATGAACACAATTATTCAGCAAGAGTATATAATGTACAAAGGATGTGAAATGGAGGAGCAGGGCTTAGCTAGTTTGAGACATGTACAAGTGTCACTTAAGTACAGTATAGAGCTTAAGTCACATCTCTATGCTGACTGCCAGTTTCATTTGTCTATTTTCAATATGATCCTTTGGGTGTCCCTTGCAACTCAGCTGTTTTCTGATTCTGTGAATGCAAAGTGACACTTCATTCTTTTTGTGAAGTCTAGCTATAAAACAACAACTGAGTTAGAAGACCACCTCCTCTTCCAAGCTGTGTATGAATGTTATTGAAAAACACTCCCTGAACCAGATCTGCTCTATGGGCCCACAGTGATGCCATGCCCCAGAGAAACGACTCCTGTGGCATAGTTTTAGCAGATGTAATGCAAAGGCAGACCTGGCCACAAGTGGGGAACGTATAAACTGGGATTCATTTAATTATTATTTTATTTATTAAAATTGTTAGTTGCTTTATCTTGCCCAGGGCAACCCAAAGCAAGTTTAATCCAAACAAGTAGACATCAACCCCCCCCAGATTCCTTTAAACCAAGAGGAAAGAGAAATGGATTAAAAACATCCCACCAGAGCATTCCGCAAATGTGGAGCTACCACAGAAAAGGCCTGTTGCCACCCTCTGGACCACTCCTAGAGGGGGCACATGAAGCCCATTCCCCGCTATGGTGCCCCTCAGTGGTTATAGCAGTAGACATCGTCGACTCCAATCCAGTACTGTGCAGCAGACAGGCTGCTCCTTCATCCTGGCTGATGATTGTGCTCACCTGCGCTCCTAGAAGGAATAACGGGATTGGGGTGGGCGTGTTTTGTGCACGTGTGAATGGGGCAATTACTTCCATGTCTACCAGGAGCGCAGAAGCAGCTGGCATTCTCGGTGGGAGGCGGAAGGCGCCCCTTCGCGGCCTCTTTTCCCTCACGCGAGGTGCTGCTTCTTCCACGAAGACAGCCTGGCGGGGCGGGGCGGAGACCCCTGGGCCGCCGGAGTTCCCGCGCGGGCGACAGCGCAATGACAAGCGAGTCAGCTGGGGCCTCTCGCCGTCCCGCACATGCGCGGTGCCATCGCCGGCCCAGCCGCCCGCCGGCCCAGCCAATCTCCTTCCCCCGCTGGAAACGCGCCACGAGCGCGTCGCCCACCCCAGACGCCGGTTCTGTGAGGCACCGGCCAATCAGCACCTTCCTCCGCCCGAGCCCGGACTCCTTACCTCGCGCGCTCATGCACGCTCGCCGCCCCCCTCGCCGCTCTCGGCCAATGAGGACAGAGGCTTTCCCTCCAGCCGGCCAATAGGACCCGGCGGCGCCGCCCTCCCCCCTTTCTCCTCCCTAATCTGGACCAATCGCGAGGCAGCGCGCGCCGCTCGGAGCCCCGGGTAAGCCTCCTCGGTAGCGGCCGCCGCAGAAACTCCCGGCTCCAGCTGTGGCTGCCGCTGCCGGGAAAGCCGCCGCTGGCTCCTGCGGGGAGAGAGGCGAGAGGGTCCCGAGGAAGCGCGTTGCCAAGGGGACCGAGGCCTCTGCTTGCGTTGTCAAGGAGACGGGGGTTCTAGAGCCCGCCCCCTGTCAGGAGCCCGGCCGGATTCCGGAGTCTCAGAGCCACACCTGCGGGCGCAGCAGCGGCTGCGAGAGGATCGCGGGGGAACCAGGTGGTCGTCTCCTTGCAGGGGCCTTCCGGAGCGTCCTTGCACTAGTGCCAGCGGAAAAGGGGTTTCCAGGCACCCAAAGGCAACTTGCACCTTCCAGGGCGGGGGGAATAGATCTGCGCCCATTCAGGGTTCTGGGCTCCTTTGTCCTGAGATAATTGCACGTCTGAAGTGGCGCTCGTGGCCAAGAAGCGGGCATAGGAGTGGTTTGGTCACGGGGCGGAGAAAGGCTTTGCTTTCCTGTGCAATAAGGCCCATCAAGGTAGCAGTTAAGGTGTGTTTTCCTGGCAAAACACCCCCAAATCCGTGCTCTTCATTTTAACGTGTCACTGCACAGCTTGTGTCCTGTGGTACCCGGTTCATCCTTCACGTTGGCTGCCCCACGTTTTGCACTTCTGACTTTTTTCTTTGCACTCCATGCTGCTATGCTTCCAGTCTGCACACTGAAGAACTTGCCGCCCTTTCAGAAGCTCCCTGCTCATCCTAGCTGAAGGTGGATTGTGTGGAGTGGATGCAACCGCTAAGCCCTGCTGCCACCTCCACTGCCTGATTCACGTTCCCACCTATCAGAAGCATCTTTTTCCTCCTGGGTGAAGCCAAGAGCCCTGTCCTTCGCCCCTTCTGTGCTTGAAGGAGACACCTGGAGCAAGCCATGCTCTCTGAGGCCCTCCCCTGCTTCCAGTTACTCCGGATGGGCCCGGCTTCGCCTGGGGATTCGCCCAACCGGGATCTCTACACCTTCCGGCCTGCTAGGCCCAGCTGCACTTACCGGCTGGGCCGCCGAGCTGAGGTCTGCGATGTCGTCCTGGTGTCGGAGGAGAACCCAGCCTTGGTGTCGCGGATCCATGCAGAGATCCATGCTGAGAGGGATTCTGACAGCACCGCCGGGGAGTGGCGAGTTGGCCTGGTGGACTACAGCACCCACGGTGAGTCCTTGGAACTGTTTGTGCCACTAAGGGTGGGGTTGCATTCAGACCTAACCATTGCAAAGATGTTTGCTTTATGCTCGGCTCCTGATCCTCAGTGTGGTAAAACAGGTGGAACTAGACATGTTGACCAAAGCTTCAATTTGCATAAATTTATTCACAAGAGAGGGATGCGGGTGGCGCTGTGGGTTAAACCACAGAGCCTAGGATTTGCCGATCAGAAGGTTGGCGGTTTGAATCCCCGCGACGGGGTGAGCTCCCGTTTCTTGGTCCCAGCTCCTGCCCACCTAGCAGTTCGAAAGCATGTCAAAGTACAAGTAGATAAATAGGTACCGTTCCGGCGGGAAGGTAAACAGCGTTTCCGTGCACTGCTCTGGTTCGCCAGAAGCGGCTCAGTCATGCTGGCTACATGACCCGGAAGCTGTACGCCGGCTCCCTCGGCCAATAAAGCGAGATGAGCGGCACAACCCCAGAGTTGGTCATGACTGGACCTAATGGTCAGGGGTCCCTTTACCTTATCCACAAGAGGGGTGTGTGTGTGTGTGTAAGAGAGAGACAGACAGACATAACAGCAGATACAAATGGCCATGAATTGTAGTATGTCATTCCTGTGGGGAACTATAATGGTCTTTTGTCCCCACATTTTTCTGTTTCCACCCATGTGTGTGTGGTTGGCACCTGCCTGTCTTGAGAGACAATGGCACGCATCTCCAGGGGTGAAGCCAAACTGCTGCATTTGCAGCGCCAAAGTGACCTCCCCAGGATACAAGCCTGGGCAGAGTGTATGGAGGTCTTGGGCTGCCCAAACTACAAGACCCCTCTCTCACCTCACTGATGGAATGCAGAGCAATACCTTTGGCCCCAGCTTGGCTGCAGGAGTTGCTGGAAGGAGGTGTACAAGGCACCATCCAACTGCCTTAGGACCTCCATTCTGGTTTTGTGTAGGGTTTACTCCTTAAAGGCCTTTCCTTCTCCTAGATGAACCCCCTTTCCGGCTTGCCAAACCCCATCCGCCTCTCACTCTACAGCCTTCTTGAATGTTGGACTATTGGTCTCGTCCACTTAATGTGATGGAACCTGTCTCTGCATGCAGAGGAAGTCCCTAACTCACCGAGGGTTTGAGACCCATCGGCTACCTTCACCTGGAGCTTGTTCAGTTCGACCAACAGATTGGACTCTGCAGACTTAATGGGTGGGATCACATGGGACAAGGCAGCAGAGTCAGCCTCCATGCCAAAGGTTCCCCCCCAAACACACATTTGTTTTGTCCCGCAGAAGCGAGAGGGTGCCATCCATGCCTATGGGGAGGGTGCCATCCATGCCTATGGGGAAAAGTATTTGGGGGTGGGGGTGTGGTGTTGCACTTCCTGGCTTCACTGCCAGGAGCCCCACAGAAGGCTATGACATGTCCTGCGCTTAGCATGGAGTCCTGGGCCGAAGAAGAGTTTGGATTTGATATCCCGCTTTATCACTACCTGAAGGAGTCTCAAAGCGGCTAACATTCTCCTTTCCCTTCCTCCCCCACAACAAACACTCTGTGAGGTGAGTGGGGCTGAGAGACTTCAAAGAAGTGTGACTAGCCCAAGGTCACCCAGCAGCTGCATGTGGAGGAGCGGAGACGCGAACCCGGTTCCCCAGATTACGAGTCCACCGCTCTTAACCACTACTCCACACTGGCCGCCTTCAAAACCTCCACAAACACACCTATAGGCATTGCACTGGTTGATATATAGAAAGTGAGCTACCTCTCTTGCCCCATTATCCCTTCAGGTACTTACGTCAACGCCGTCCGAGTACCCCATGGCCAGCGAGTGGACCTGAACGACGGAGACCTTCTGACCTTTGGCCACCCCAGCCCAGTCCCTGAGGGCTGTGCCCTGCCACTCCCGCACGGCAACTCCGAGTTCTACTTCCTCTTCCAGAAAGTCCACGTCCGGCCGCAGGACTTCGCTGCTATCACGGAGCCCAAAGCCCCCTGGGCCTCCTCCTGCGGCTTCCGGCCGGTGCTGCCCTCCGGCAACCACCGCATCCGCCCTCTGTCCCGCCACTCGCCCACCGCCCTCTCCTGCCGCTCCAAAGCCACCCTCATCCTCAGCTCCATCGGCAGCCTCAGCAAGCTCAAGCCGCAACCGTTCACCTTCTCCCTGGGCCGCGGTCGGTGCACAGAACCCCCCGCTCAGCCGAAAACCTCTCGGAACCGGCGCAAGTCCGCTCACACGCTGCTGCCTGAGCTGGAGGACGAGATCACGCGGCTGGAGGAGGAGCAGCCCACCCCGGGCAAGGAGCAGCGGCTGGGCGGTTATGCTCATTGCCATAGCGCCTTGCGGCTTCAGCAGAGAGTGCCGGAGGAGAGCCAGAATTTGCAGGAAGACGAAGGTCCTCCGAAGCTCCACGTCACACCCAGCGGGTGAGTCCCTTTTCGAGTCTGCGTTATGGTCGGTACAGCTTGCGCCAGGGGGCGCCGTCATGATTTTCAAGTTTCCGGTTTAACAGAAAGATTTCCATAGCGTTGATGAGTTAAGCCGGAGTGTTTCTCAAGGTTGGGTCCCTGTCTGTTGTGGGACCACAACTCCCATCATCCAGGGGTCAGGGATGATGGGAGTTGTAGTCCAGCAACGGCTTGGGGACCCACGCTTGAGAAACAGTGAGCTAAGAACTTCCCTTCTCTCTGTCTCTCTTTTCCTTCCTTCCTTCCTTCCTTCCTTGAAGTATATCAAGTATATATATCAAAGTGAAAGGTACCTTCTCTGCCTCGAGTTCAGGGGGCGAACTGGATCCTTCCTTACTTCCCCACTAGCATGTGCCAAGTTTCAAAGTTAGTTAGAGCCACCTGTCTGTCAATCACCTGTTATAATGACATCAGGCAACACTTTCTCCTTTGCCCATGCAGTTCCACTGCTGCTGTAGCCGCTGCAGCCAGTTTCTAACTCAGCACCTTCTTATAATATACTTTACTGGACAGCTGAACAGTTAAAGAAATTCTCAGCGATTGGAATAGTGAACTGGAGGCCATACAGTGGTACCTCTGATTACGTACTTAATTCGTTCCGGAGGTCTGTTCTTAACCTGAAACCGTTCTTAACCTGAGGTACCACTTTAACTAATGGGGCCTTGCACTGCTGGTGTGCAATTACTGTTCTCATCCTGAGGTAAAGTTCTTAACCTGAGGTACTATAGTGGTACCTCGGGTTAAGAACTTAATTCGTTCTGGAGGTCCATTATTAACCTGAAAACGTTCTTAACCTGAGGTACCACTTTAGCTAATGGGGCCTCCAGCTGCTGCCATGCAATTTCTGTTCTCATCCTGAGGTAAAGTTTTTAACCCGAGGTACTACTTCTAGGATAGCGGAGTCTGTAACCCGAAGTGTTTGTAACCCGAGGTACCACTGTATTCTGTAGAAGTCCAATTGCACGCCTGGTAAATTCTGACCCACCCCCCCACCCCCCTGCTGCAGCCCAACAATTGACACACAGGGACAGGGAACCTGTGGCCCTCCAGTTGTTGCAAACCCGAACTCCCATCATCCCTGATTGGGGCCGATGGGAGTTGGAGTCCAACAAATTCCGGAGTTCCTTAGCTCTGCTTTAGTGGCTCTGGACAGGCATGTAAAGCGGGGCGAAGTAACAGGTTAAAACTTGCTAGTTGTACATCCGGTCAGGGCAGTGTAACGAGTCCTTGTGCAGACATATGTGGCAACTCACTTTTTCATCTGCCAAGAGGCCCTGGGGCTTTCTGGAACAGCCAGATTATGCGGCTCATGGGCTTTAGATGGGCAGGAAGAGGCTGGGAATGGCAGCTTTCTCTGGGTTTGCTGGAGAGGGCAGCGTAGAAATGAACCACATGACTATAAACTTGCTCCCGAAGGCCTATTAATGCCTTTCTATCCCCACACTGGAAGTGGTTTACAAGGAAGGCACCACTTGGATAACTCAGGTGGTGGAGCATGTGACTCTTAATCTCAGGGTTGTGTGTTCGAGCCCTATGTTGACTGGGAGATTCCTGCATTGCAGCGGGTTGGACTAAATGGCCCCTCGTGGTCCCTTCCAACTCTACAGTTCTAAGATTCTGTCCCCTCCCCCCATACTAATCCAGAATCTGTAGGCATGGTGTCCTGCAGAACATATGGCAATAAAAAGGTCATTTTTAATAAACCTTTTATGGATCTGCAGCTTGTTCTGTCGGCGTTGGGCTTTTTCTCTTCTCATCATTTTCTCTTAACTTTGCTTCTCATCCACTAAACGCTCATTTTAATATCTGCTTGTAAGCCACCAGTGGAAAGGCGTTGGCCTTTGGCTTTTCTGCGGGTGGCGCTGTGGGTTAGCCTAGGGCTTGCCGATCAGAAGGTCGGTGGTTTGAATCCCCGCGACGGGGTGAGCTCCCATTGCTCGGTCCCTGCTCCTGCCAACCTAGCAGTTCAAAAGCATGTCAGTGCAAGCAGATAAATAGGTACTGCTCCGGCGGGAAAGTAAACGGCGTTTCCGTGCGCTGCTCTGGTTCGCCAGAAGCGGCTTAGTCATGCCGGTCACATGACCCGGAAGCTGTACGCCGGCTCCCTCGGCCAATAAAGCGAGATGAGCGCCACAACCCCAGAGTCCGCCACGACTGGACCTAATGGTCAGGGGTCCCTTTACCTTTACCTAACAACATAGGAAGTTCTTTTGGGCCAAGTCAGACTATTATTAGCCCACCCAGCTCATTATTCTACACTGACTGGCACCGGCCTCCCAGATTTTTGGCCTGGAGTCTTTTCGCAGCTGTACCCAAAGAGGCCAGGGATTGATCCTGGTAACTTCTGCGCACAGTGCAGATGGTCCGCCGTCCGCACTCTGGAAATGTTGCTGCCGTGCTGATGGGGGTGGGGAATACAGGTGCCAGTTTTCGGATTTATCCCTCCCTGTTCCTTTGCAGGAAACGTCGCGGCCGGCCCCGGAAGAACCCCCTGGGGAGCACTTGCCAAGTCTTCTCCCAGACTCTGTCCACGTCGGAGCCGTGCGCTGCCCCGAGGTGCCACCTTCCTCAGGACGAGATGGTGGAGTGGGTCCAGTGTGACGGCTGCGACGCCTGGTTCCACGTGGCTTGCGTGGGCTGCAGCTACAGCGCCGTGAAGGAGGCTGAGTTCTGCTGCTCCGCCTGCCGCTCATAAGGAGGGTGGCCGCGGCCGGAGAGGTGCCCTCGCCCCTGCCCCCAAATGGGTAATATCAGTGGACTCCAGCAGGACACGCAAGGACTTTTCCCCATCTTTAAAGTGGGTTGGTAAAAAATTGCACAAGGAGCGTGTTTTCAGGGACAAGCGAAAGAACATGGCAGTCTCGCTCAGAGGGAGGCTGTGAGAAAACATACCAGACTTTAGCTTCCTTGTGTCAAGGAGTCAAGTCCATCTCCGAAAACCAAGAGGCCACATTGCACTGGGGAAGACATGGATATTATTACATGGGGAAGTTTCCGGCTAACTCCAGTGCTAGAAGCTGCGGAGGGACGGGACCTCTGGATGCTGCGAGACTTCGGCTTCCACCTTCCCCGGCCACGGACCCTTCTGGCTGGGGGCTGATGGGAGCTGGAAACACCAGGGGGGTCACCGGTTCTTCTCCCCTGATTTGTGCTGCCCAAAGCCGGCCTTCAACTGAAAGGGGCAAGCGATTGCTTGAGAGGGACAATCGGGGCAGATGCACAACGCCACCGTTTACCTTCCGAGGTCTTCATCCTCTAAACTTACAGGGAAGAACCTGCCGCACTCGGAAGAAACCGCTTACGAACACCTAGCATGCCAGTTTTCCCGTTGCACAGCGGTGTGTGCAGAATGGCCACCCTCGCAGCAATAGCCCTGCAGCCTGGGAAGCTGCCCAACTTTTACAGGGCCGACCTTGGGAAAATATTTCAGAGACCCCAGAAGAAGTGAGTTTCTGAGGGTGCAGTAGGGCGGCTGCCTCACCTCAGTGCTCCGGGAAGTTGCCAGTTTATTGGGTTCGCATGAAGTAGCGAGACATTGGAACAGCTGCCGAAGAGCAATGCCTGCTGTTAACTTAGCTGGGAAGAGAGTCCCGCCCTCTCAAAGCTTTTTACGAAGAGACAAGTAGGGGGTCAAGTGTTTTGATGAACTAGGTGGGAATCTTAGGATGCTATATTCCAGAGTAGCAGCTATAGTTAGGCCTTAACTGGAGGTGATGGGGCAGTCAGAGTGGCAGTCGCCCATCTGCCCTGTTCACTTATGAAGTGCATGTGTCGAGTTTGGCACCCAAAGGAGTGTGCAAGTGAGAGGGACTTGCACCTCCCGCCATTTTACCTCAAATCTGCTTTTGCATTTTCGTCCTCCTTTGCACCAACACTGGGCTAGAAGGTCACAACTCTTCTTGCAAATGTGCTCTTTTCATGTAAAGGGAAAAACAAACAAACCCCAGCCCTTTCCCCCTTTAGACATAAAGATGACAGATGCACAATCACTGTAGCTGTCCTTGATGCATCTAACTTGGCACTTAAGTAGTTTTGCAGTGAAAGCAAGAGTCTTATGGCACCTTAAAGACTAATGACAAGATTTATGGTGGCGGCGGCAGCTTTAACAGGCCAGGTCCCATTTCATCAGCTGCACAAACACTAAACCATGGTTTAGCAAGCAATAGTTATTAAACCATGGTTCAGTATTATATGTGTGAACCAGCAGTTTATGGTTTGGTCCGAAGTCCTAGTTTATTGCTGGCTTACAAACCATGGCTTGCTTTAACTACAGTGTAGGACCTTTCATGAGCGCTGCAGATGCTCACCAAATTACAAAGGAATGAGGTAATAGCAGCAGGGAGACAAAACAAACCGGAGAAACAAGCAATGTTTGTTAAACAAACCACAGTTTAGTGTTACGTGAGAACTCGGCCACTGTATGCATACACATGAACATGGTGCGCATGTATAATGTTTGACAAATAGCAGGACCAAAA